ACACACACACACACACACACACACATATATATATATATATATATATATATATATATATATATATGTATGGCCAACATACTATAACCAGGGTAGGCCTACTCACGTCGCACAGCGAAAGCCTCCCAGATGACGTCGATGAGGGACAGGATTTATAAAGACGACGATGCGAATAACGACGATAGTCGAATCTTAGTAGACCTACTACTACTACTACTACTACTAGTACACACACAGACACACGTGACGCGGTGGTCGTCGCTATCCCACAGTACAGAGCACGCTCACGCGTGTCAGTCGACGGCACAGCTGCTCTGAGAGAGAGAGAGAGATCGAGCACCACGGCAGTCCCGCTCAGCAGTCCCCTGGCTTCTCTCTCCGCTCCGCCAAAATTAGGAGGAGGAGGAGCAGGAGGAGACGGCAGACGGGTAACTGAACACCGCGTGGGTCTTACGTCATGACCCCTGGCGGCGGTGGCGGGAAGCTACGCGCGCAGCAGCGAGGAAGGACGCCAGTATTTTTTTATTTTTTATTGATTTATTTAGGCAATTATCCATCATATACAATACATAGCATACTTTTACAATAAAATTCTGAATTCATAAAATTGGATAACTGCTAAGGATATATACACAAAAAGCATGACTAGCACACTTATTTACATTGTGGTCCTTGTTTTACTATGCCTTGAATCTAACAATTACACTACTATCAGCACTAACTATTGAAATGTACAACTTTGTAGTTTTAACCGGTCATACAATGGAACATTCTCATAAGACGATACAAACTTTTCTTATGCCTAATTTCAACCGAATTCTTTTAGCGAAAATCATACTCCTCTGCCTCTAATGTTTCTACCTTTTCCATCAGACATAATATGCTTAACTATATACTATACTTAACTATACTTAACTAAACTAAACTAAACACTATACTTAAAACTAGAATAAACAGAATTTGTCCTAACTTGCTGTGGTAGAGAGTTCCAAGCTTCTATTGCAGTATAAGTAAAAGAGTTTTTCCCACTGCTTCCCACCCTCGGTTTAAAAATAGACATCTCACCTTCCCTTATATTGAAACTATGGACTTCTGACGTTAACATGAATCTTTCTGTCATATACTGTGGGCCGAGATTATGTAATATTTTAAAATCCCTATTGACCTTCAGTTGCATTACCCTGAACTCTACAGGTACCCAATTTACAACCTTGAACTCTCTAGCACCTATGTGTGCTCTAGTACCTAGGTTGAGAACACATCTAATGGCTTTATTTTGACACACTTGCAGCTTAGCCCTTGTGCGCTTTGTGAGACTGTTGTACCATATACTGCTTGCATAGTCAAAATGACATTGAATTAGGGCAAAAACTAGTAATCTTTTACATGCCGTGTTTGAATACTTAGCTTTTCTGGAAAGAAATTTCAATCTATTAATTGTTAACCTTTTTACAACCTTAATTCCCATTACCTCACCACTCATGGAGTCTTCCAAGTCTATTCCTAGATACTTAACTGTATTTTTATGTGCAATTGCCACCCCATTACATCTGATGTCCAATTTTGGATTATCCCTGAGTTTGTGTTTAGTTCAAAAAATAATACTTTCTGTTTTTCCAAGATGCAAGGATAAATTATTATCATTGAGCCATTTATTAATGGAATGCAATTCTCTACTTAATTCTTCCTGTATAGCCTGTACCTCTGTCCCTGAAACTACTAAGGCCGAATCGTCAGCATATAATAAAAGCTTGACGTTAACTGCCTTTGCCATGTCATTAACATAAATCAGAAATAACAGAGGACCCAAAATCGAGCCTTGTGGTACTCCACGTGCAATTATAGGGTCCTTATTAGAGAAGGTACCTCCTACATCAGTTATTTGGCTTCTACCAGAGAGATAAGCACCGAACCATTTCACAGTCCTAATATCCATTCCGATAGTTTTTAGCTTGGCTACTATAGCCCGCGTACAGTTGCCGCAGACCCTGCGG